GCCCAAAGAGGGGAGGGGGTGGGGTACAGTACTTGGAAATTTGGGGTCAGTCCCCTCATCTCTTGAGCCTCAGCTCCTTCATCTATAAAACGGGCATGTCTCTTACTGCCCTAATTCTCCGTGAAGCCGGTTTGAGGAAAAGCAAGTGACCTTGCACTCAAGTGCAAGTGACCAAATTTCCCTCTGTGTCGCAAGAACTACCAAACATTTGATGGCAATCCCAATCTTGGATGCCATTTGCCCACCCAGGGGTGTGCTGGGAACTTATAGATCCTCCTCTTGACTTGGCAGACCGTCTCTTAGACCAACTGCTCCTCTGGCTTTGTTCCTAGATCTCTGCTGGGCTGGCCCTGCAGGACTCTTTTCTGCTCCTGCTCCCCACCTTCTTCTGATGGCCCAGGTGACTTCACAGTCCATTTTCTCCAGCTCTCCAAATGTCTTCTGCCATTGGAGGCCAGATCTGTCCATCCATAGTGGGATCAGGGAAAGATTGGTGACTCCCATTGTTCAAGGTCACCCTAGGTACTGGGGAAACAGACCTGATTGTCAAGGGAACCTCCAGTCTGGTGGGAGAGACAGACATACCAGCCAGCCCTCTCAGCACCTATCCTGTGTGATGTTCTACGGCAGAGGTGCCACGTGCTGCCCCAGGGATGAGGGGATACAGAGTAGCAGTGAGAGAAGGCTTCTGGAGAAAGGAAATGTCACAGCTGGACCCACCAGAGGGAGGAGAGTGTTCCAGACAGGGTGTGGAATCCCCTCCCTCAAGGATAAGGGCCTTGGAGTCTTTGTGCCACTGTGGATGGTTTGGTGTAACCAGAACCCGGCGGGGGGTGAGGCTGGAGGGTAAGCCAGGGCTAGATCACGGGAGGAAGTCTTTGTGTATGTGCCGAGGGGCTTCTGAAGAATTTCTGAAGAATTCCAAGGCTGGGAGTGACAGTCACAGGTGGGTTCATTCATGGGGCCCTGCTCAACTCTTCCTTAGGAAGGCTGCTTTCTCTCTAGACCAGGATTTCTCAAAAGTGGCACTATTGACATTTGAGGCTGCATTATTCTTTGTTGGGGGCGGAGGGCTGGCCTGTGCATTGTAGGATGCTCAGCAACAGCATCCCTGGCCTCTACCCACTAGATGCCAGCAGCACTCCCCCAGTTATCACAACCAAAAATGTCTCCAAACATTGCCAGATGTCCCCTGGGTGGTAAAACAGCTCTCGATTGAGAACCCCTGCACTAGGGTTTTTTTCTGCTGTATATGTACAGATGGCCCCTCCTGTATTTGCCTTCATGCCTCTCTCCCTAAGGCCTGGTCATGCACAGCTTCTAGCCTTTCCGGGAGGTATTCTGGGCGGTGCTGTTGGCTCCCTGCATGGCCTCATTTCAGCACCTGTGGCTCAGGCTCCCTGCTCATGGGGGCTCTGGCTGGGGCTGGTTGTGGGTAATCAGCTGCCAACAGCTCTATGCACCTCTGAGTCAGGCCAGCAAGGCACCTAACACATAGTGCTGTGGGACATACCACATAGTGTCTGGGACACTCCTGGATGGGTTCCCACCCTGAGGTCAGCTGGGACCAGACTTGTCCCAGCCTGTTGGCCCTGCACACTCTGTCCCTCAATCTCACTGTCTGCCAGGCTGAAGCCTGCATGGAGTCAGCTCAAGAAGCCTGCCAGAGAGAGGACACCAGGCTGGGGACAGAGGACAGGTGGTGGCAGCTGGAGACCGTGTGACCACTGGAGGCTGTGCATGTCACAGGGCAGAGCTGGCCGCTGGCTCACTCCTTGGCTCAATCTGAGAAGCCTTCACATGACATCTCTGTGGGAGCCTCCATGTTGGGGGCGGGGGAGCGGGAGGTGGGAGGGAAGAGGGAAGCGTTTTTAGGATCCAGGCTGCAAATACACACTACACTTGCTGACCCTCATCGCATGACCACATTGGCTTTGTCAGCACAGAAATCAGGCTTCGGGCACACACACAAATCTCTCCCACCCTTGCTGTGTGCAGGCTGCGGCAGCTGAGAGAGAGGGGCGCTGGGATGGAGCAGGAGGCCAGGGAGCCAGATATGCCACCAGCCTCCATGTCTCCAGATGTCACCAAAACCAGACACAAGACCCACCCCCATGTCAGCATTTTGCACACGTTCATTCATGTTAATCTCACAAGAGCCCCATTTCCTATTGAGAGTGATTCTTCTATCTTCCATTTTCTTCCTTCCTTAGGGTTTCCAGGGTTTAATCTGGGTGTTTTTTGTTGTTGTTGTTGTTGTTGTTGTTGTTGTTTTAAACACTCCCACCATCAGCTCACTTTACCTCACTGTGGTCCCAAACTGCACACACTGGCAGGTCCTTTTTGCTGAAGGGACGTCATGGGAGATCCTGAAATCACCCTTCCTCCATGGGAGAGACCTCCAGGCCAGCAGCTCAGGGTCCTGGGCCTCCGGGGTTAGAATTGCAGGGCACTCCGAGCCGGGCAGGTCCCAGCGCTGCCAGGATGAGAAAGCCCTGGAACCTCCTTCCCCTCAGGAATGAGAGGAAAGCCCCGAGGCTTCCACCGGCAGCCCCACCTCACCGCCCCCAGTGGGCCAGGAGCTTTATTTAGCTGCGCTGAAATCCCGCAGACCTGGACGGCTCTCCTCAGCCAGTGTCCTTGCTGCCCAAGAGGACAAAATCTCGTGAACGGGCTCTGCCCTCTCCGGGAAGAGAGCCACCTGCCTCGTGCTTGCCGAATGTTTCACCTCTAGGGTTTTTACTTTTAAAATAACATTTAGTATATTTGATCTCTTTGCATAAGCAAGATATATTCAGTGTGTAATATCTGGGAAATCCAGAGAAGTGTAAAGAAGGAAATTAAAAATTCACCATTGTCTCACCAACCAGAGACAAACACTGCTGAAGTGTTGCTGAGTAGTTTTTTTCTCTATTCTTGAGTCAAGATGTGTACATATCTCTAAAAAGTAAAACCAGAATCATATTTTATATACATTTTTAAAGAATTATTGAGGTCTAACATATTAATACATGCAATAAAGGGCGTAGTTAGTAAGTGTGCAGCTCGGTCACAGGTGGGTTCATTTTTACCCTTTATACGCCCGTCACTCAGGTCATGATACACACCATATCCAGACCCCAGGAAACTATCCCACCTCTTCTCAGTCAAAGCTACACTCCGCCCTCAAGAAGTCATCAGTATTCTGACTTCCATCGTTACGGGTTCCATCTTCCCATTCTGCAGCATCGCATAAATGGGTTCATGCAGTATGTCCTTGTGTGTCTGGCTTCGCTCCCCCAATCTGTAGCATCTATGAGCCAGGCCTGGAAGAGGGACCTACGGTGGCATGTTCAGTGGTTGCACGTGAGGAACTGAATGAATGAATGATTAGAGAATAGGCTTTGGTTGCAGTGTGGTCTCTCCTACCAGGCTCCTGTGCTTTTCAGGAACTACCTGGTGGTCCATAGGTGGCCTGAACTGCAGGGAGGTGGTGGGGAGAGTAGGGAGGGAGCAGGTTGTACACGCCTGCCCTGTCTGCCTGGCACTCACGAGCCCATGAGCAGCAGGACGGGGGTATTTTTAGAAACCGCATCACACAGAGCAGCCACTTGACACTGTGGCTGTCTCACTGCCATGGGTCCCAATGCCAAGCCCCACCCTGGGCCAACCCCTGTGCTGTGAGCCCCAGACCCCCTACCATCCTTCTGAGCAGGAGAGATTCCTGCTCAGCCCCAGCTTTGGGTGATGAACAAGCACAAAGCAAGAGGACCCTGGTGTCCCTGGGGAGCACTCCACTGGGAAATGCAAACACTTGGCTCGTGGAGAAATGGGTGCTGCTGTCCTGCACCTCAATAAAGACATGCTTATGCCCTAGGATCAGCGTCATGGCACAGCTCCAAACCAGTGTAGCCCCCTGTACTGTGCAAAGGTCTTGAAGTTGGAAAGGACTCCTGTCCTTCCCCTCGCCCCATCTGGTACTTGAACTCCCTTTGACATTCTTCCCAATGTGGGCCCAGCTTCTGCACCTCCCTGTTCCCTTACTTCACAATCAGCACCTGAGGCTCGGCCACCATCATCTCTCGCCTGCCCTGTGTGGCCAACTTCTTTCTCCATCTGCTCTTGTCTCCCTTGTATCCACTCTGCCCTGCAGCCAGGGCTCTGCTCTGCACACCAGTAGCCTTGACAAAGCGGCTGGACCCTTCAGGAGAACCAGACCTTGGCAGCTGGGGAGAGTCGCTGGGCCACACAGGTGGGAGGAGGAGCCTCCCCGAGACGCTGGGCGTGGGGGTAAGAGGTGTGGTGGGGGACAGGGTAGACAGTGTGGGGTGGCACGGGGGCACCTGACATTAGGCAGAATTTCACTATTTGATGATTTGTTTCCCTTGATTCTTCTTCTTGGGCTTGTACTTAATGTATTCTGGGCGAGGAGGAGGAGCGGGGGGTGCTTAGTCGTTTTCCTGGATGACTGGGAGCAGGCTATGGCTTTGGGAATATAGGAAATCAGTTCCCAATGAGCTACTGGGGGAGAAGATTCTCACGCTACAAACATCTAAACCACAGACGAACAGGCCTTGAACAAGCTGTCAGAACAACCAGTGTTGATTATTGAGAGTGTTTCTGCAGCGTGTGACCTGGCATGGTTCGTTAATGCTGTCCCTGAGGCATTTCAGATCAGCAGTATCTTGGGGTTCCACTTGGAACGAGCCCACCCCTCAGCTGACTGGTGCTGTCCTCCACTGGGTGATTTAGTGGTCAGACATGCTGGGTCGAGGGGAAGCAGCATCACGACGAGGCACCTGTGCCCATCTGCCAGTTTGGAGGAAGGGCCAAATCACAGGGTCAGTAATGCTTCCTGGCCAGAGAACATGAGCTGAGCAGCTGTCCCTGACATGCCGGCCATGAGAGGTTCTCTTACCAATTTAGCCTCAGGGAGCAAGAGGTCTCCTGTGATCAGAAGGTATGTGAGTGTCACAGCTAGGGTCAGAGGGAGGCCAGGGGCTCTGATCTTAGCCTCTCACACAGATATGAACCCAGGAAGCAGGAAAGGAGCCCTTTAAGGGCAGGATGGAGGACACTCCCAGCATCCCCTGTGGCTGGCTGGCGGGGTCCTTGGAGCACTCAGGGACCAGCCTAGGAGAAGAGAAGGGAGCGGAGTGTGTTGTATTAATAGTTAAATAATTGCTAGATAGCAGAACACCTATCTCCAAGCTTCATTTTCCTCTTTTGTAAAATGAGTAAAATGAGATGAGAGCTGCAAATATCCCACACACTGAATGACGTTCTATGAATCCAAGGCGTTATTTGCTCCAGTCATTTTTGTGCTTTATACTTTTATAAACAATTTGGAGGCAGATACTGGATGCAGGCTTATCAACTGTTTACAGAAAACAAAGCTCAGGAGGGTTGGCCAAGACCCAGCTAAGGGGAACTCCAGATTGCAGAATCCGAAATCCTGGCACTCCGCAGGTTCCCCTCCCCTGGTCGCCGTCTCCATGTGACCCTCGGAAAGCACAGTGCCCCTCATGGAGTTCGATCCTTTCCGATGTGGCTGCTGCTTCTCTCTAGTGGGTAGAGGCAGGGATATTGCTAAACACTCTCCCGTGCGCAGGGTTCTCCGTCTCATCGCTATTGGCGCTGTGGACCAGGTCATTCTGTGTTGCGGGGCTGTCCTGTGCATGGCAGGATGGTTAGCAGCATCCCTGGCCTCTACCCACAAGCTGCAGCAGCACAGCTGCTCCTCTCTTTGTGACAAACATGTGTGCCCGGGGGGCAAAATCGCCCCCGGTTAGTTAAGACCATTGCTCTAGATTCATCCTCTGCATTTCCCTGCCTGTGTGACAGCTCTGGGCACCTCAAGGCACTCCTAATTCCTGAAATAAACGAGGCCTTTCTACAAACTTCCCAGCCCTTTGCACACAGATGCCTCTCCACTCCTGCCCTTTGCTGCTTTGTAAAATCCTGCTTATCCTGAGCATCCCTTCCTAGAAGATGTCATCCCCGATGGCCCCAGACTGCCCATGTCCTCACAGCTACTTCTGGAGCTCTGACTGAACGGATTTAAATTTCTGTTTGTGATGGTCTCTCCCATTGGACTACAAGCTTCTTGAGGGTAAGTCCGGAGATCTCTCTCCCCTTTGCTCCCCAGCGCCTGTTCTGCACAGAGTGGGAGCTCAGTGAATCTTCATTGAGTAATATTGTTTATTGAATCACTAGTGGCTGCTCACGGGATGTATAATGCTCTCGTCAAAAAGCATGTTTTCTGGATCTTAATAAAGCAAAGGGTCCAGGACTCCACCCTCAGGCAGCAGAGCACAATCTCATCTCTTTTGCAGAGGAAAATTAACTTCTTATTTTAATCTCCAGGATGCTAGAGAGGTTGAGGGGAATTTCCTCCTGTGAAAACCTCTCTGGGGCTCTGCCCTGGAGAAGACGTTGGAGGGGCTGCAGCAGGTAGCACTTTCTTCTGAAAGATGCCTGAAGACGGGTGCCAACCCCAGCCCAACTTTTTCTTTGCCTGGAGAGCCAGGGGCTTAACCTGGGCTTTCTTGAATGCAAATGCGATCCGCCGTGTCCAACAGCAAAGCCCCGCCCTCCGCCGCCAGGGTGCTGGGCTTTGGGACTTTCTCCAGCCCTCCCCTCTGCATTGTAAAACGGGAACAGACTGCGCAGAAGGAACGTGTTTGGTGCTGAGACCGGAGCCAGGGCAGTACGCGGCAGATCCAGACAATCTGCTCTGCTCCTCCCAAGGAGAGAGGAAAGGCTTTTATTTCTTGCTGACAACCAAGTCAGTGATGGGAAAATCTCTGGGCAACCAAAGCTGAGCAAAGCAAGCTATGCACACCCCATGCTGGTGTGCTTCACCTGACTTCATGTGGCGGGGCGTGCGCGTGCGTGTGTGTGCGTGCGCGTGTGTTCGGGTGGTTGGTGGTGGTGATGTGCACGCACTAAAAGAAAATTCATGGACTGTCAGATATAAAAAGCCATCAATTTCAACCTGGTGCTTGACTTGCTTGGATAGTCTCTCCCCAGCCCCTGCTGCTTGGACCCTTTGGTGACAGGGTCTACTCACTACCTTACCACATGTCAGATAGCTCTGCCTAGTAGAAAGCTTTGAGCCACTCTGATGCTTTACCCTTTATCCTAAGCCCAATTCTTTGTTCCATTTGGAATTGGTCCAATCCTTCTTCCCCAGGAAAGACTTTCAGAGGCAATCACTTCACCACCCAGATCCATTCTTCTGGCTAAAGAGACCCAGTTCTTTCAACTATTCTCCCTGTGACACAGTTTTGAGTCCCCTCCCTTCCTGATCACCCTTTTCTTGCCAGCACAAAAGGTAACACAATACCCCAGTTTTTTCTGCAGTTCTCAGAGAGTAAGTTATTTAAGATGAACATGTTTTGCGGACAGCTGAGGAGTAACTTCTTGAGCAACAAACTTTTTAAAAAAGCATGATGGGAAATTTTTAAGCATGCAGCATACAGGCCCCTTTTAGATTGTGCACATCCCTGCCAGTTCTCTCTACGACGTTTCTCACCACCTCTGACTGCACCTCTCGCTGCTGCCTCCCATACACCCTCCTGCACCTCTTTGCACACCACCTGCCCACAGGGCCGGACTGCCTTGTGCCATCCCTGAAAATACTAGGACCCGTGAGAGGAAGCCGCAGGAAGTCAGGTGGCACCTGGCCATGAGAAGCACCTTCTAATGGCTAAGGAGTTCAACGCCTGGATGGGCGACTGGTGCCAGCTGGCGCAGCGAAGGTGTGTGGGTGGAGGCTTATGGGAGGGGAGTCCTCCAGCCACTCCATTACGGATCTGCTAAGGTCCGGCTGGGCGCCCCGCAGTCTCTTCCAGCCCTGCGATGCTGTGATTGCAGGCAAAGATTTCATAATGGGGTTTTATGTGAAATGAGGACTCCGGGATGTCCTTTTGGCAGTTGCAGCAGAGGGAGCAGAAAGCCGGTTCCTTCAGCGAAGCAGCTGTAGGGCTGGAGACTGAGCATGACTTAGCCCTGGTCTGTGACTGAGCTGAGCCACTTGAGAAGGCAGAGGCACAGTGTGGTGACAAGCAGTCTCCTGTGTTGGAGGACTTACGGATCAGGAGGATTTTGAGTGCCCTTGAGTCAGTCCTCAGCGCCCCCCACCCCCAAACCCCAGGGGCACCAGTCAGTCCTCTAATTGGTCTGAGCACGTGCACAGTTCTGAAAAGTGTAGGGGTGAAGTCCGTGGTATTGTTCTGAAACACTTGGCCAAATTTCTGGACACCAGAGTGGCTACTGGGCTTATCATAAATGTGGGATGTCAGTGTTTTCAAAGACTCCTGGTGCCCCAGGTCTGGGAGGGAACTTTGCATTGTCCCTGTCCAGCACTCAGAGGCTGGCACACCCTCCCATGCTGTCATCCAGCCTCTGCCAGAACACCCCAGTGTTTGACTAAAGGAGATGATGGATGGCAATTATCTGACACTGCCAGGTAGGTAAATGCCTTCCCTCCCCCCTGCTTCCCTGTGAATGACAGAAAGCTTGCTGCCTTCGGAGGCAACTCGCCCTGGCTTGGAGCTGAAATCTGTTTAGTCGAGTGCTCTATAGGACATGTTCTTACTGCTCCCATGCTACCTGGGGAATCAGATGTTCTTATCTCTATTGCTTATAGTAAATACTACTACTTTTAGCAACTTTAGGTGAGCAGGACCTTGTGCCAGATACCAAGTTAGTGCTTTACAAACTGAACATGGATGTCAGGCTTATGAAAACTCTGCATCTCACTGGGCCACAGCTGGAAGGTTCCCTAGAGGTCGTTTCATCCCGTTCTTACAATTCAGCATGTTGAATCAAGGCTAAGACCCTAAGCCACCGACCCAGCTCTGTCCTGGTGGGGCACCGCAACATTACTCCACTGTCTATGTCTATGTCCCTTTAACCCACAGGCTCAGCTCCACCCTCAGGACAGGTAAAACTAAGCCTGACTTGAATCTAATTCTCAACTGTGCATCTCCTCTGTCGTAGGCTGGGTCAGGGATAACCGCGGCACAAACAGGCCTGGGACAGCTACCTTGTTCACAGAGGGTGCGGAGAGCCCAGAGAAGGGAGGTGGATTATTCCTGGGAGCGAGAGGAGCAGACACGATTTCTCACCAGGAGTACTATTTGTACCCAGTCTTGAAATAGGTGAGGATTGGACAGGGCTGGGGGTAGGAGGTGGGATGGCGTGTGGTGGGTGGTGGTGGTGGAAAGGGTGTGGCCAAGGTGTGAAGGTCAAAGTCATGGAGGTCAAGGTGTGGAAGTCTTCTCACCAAGTCCTCCATGAAGCAGTTACACAGGACGTAATTTCTCTTCTACAAACTGGTCCCTAAACCAGGTGAGCGCAAGGCCAGGCCAGCTTACGGATTTGGGGGCAGGTTTTGCCTGCACTGACAAAGCATCTGGTCCCTACAAAGGGCTGAGTGATTTATTTTCTGACCAAGCTAATGTTTTGGAAAAGTGCTGGCGGCCCTCCTGACCTGGGGATGCCCGGGCACCTGGGGAACGGCCCAGCTCCTGGCGGGGAGGCCCCGCCACCCGGCCCTGGCCCAGATCCATGGGAAGACAAGCTTCCTTCTCACCTTTCCAGTATGTCCTGAAACCAGAAGCCCCATGACACTGGCTCCCTTTTCACTGCTCTGGGAGTTCTGCTCTGGCCAAGGCAGGACACTCACACTGCAGAGAAGCCTGAGACGCCGCTGGGACTGAGGTGCAGGGAGGGTCAGCCGGGGAGAGTGATGGGCCCCATCCCAAGGCAGTGTCCCCATTTCTGCCAGAGCTTAGCACCCGAGCCTTCCCACTGGCCCTGGGATTCCTTTATTTCAACCACTTACTTACTGTGTGACCTTGTACATGTCACCTGGCCTTCCTGAACCCCGTTTCACATCTACACGAATGGTGAAAACATCAGCACCAGCTTTCAAAGCAGCACTCTCACGTGTATCCTCCCATCTGAATATCTCTGCAGACTGTGCAGTGCGTGAGTGGGCAGGGTGGTACTACTATCTCCATTTTAGGGGTGAAGAAATGCAATTAAATATAAGCAACTTGACTTGCCCTGATGTTACAGCTGCTAGGCTCTGGGCTTAGGGCTCCCGACTATAGGACACCAAGTAGATAATAATCTCTTATGAGAGTCTCCAGGAAATGTTTGAGCCAGAATTAGCAATTTTAAAGTCTTGATTATGGGACTCAGGGGGCATTGGGTTTCCATGTGCTTTCTGACACCTGCAGAAGCCGAGCTAAGGAGGGCAGGAAGTCCCACAATGGGCTCTGTATTCTGTTTCCACCACAGTCTGATGCAGATTCAAATCACAGCACCCTCTGCTCTCAGAAATGCAATAAAAATATTTCACTCTGAAGCTACAATCCAACTTGACTATTAGGAGGGGTAAAATAAGATTTGATGATACGGGGTTTCTCTGGGACCCTTTCGTGTCTGCAAGACCTTTCCCAGTGTCCTTTTTATTATAATTCCGATGGGACTGTCTCTCAGATCGCTCAGAATCTGCAGAAATAGACCAAGGTGGTGCTGATGGGGCCTCCAGGTGGGAAAACTCTCTTCTCATTGGGGTGGGGTGTGGAGAGGAGCATCACTGGGGAAAGAACATAACAGAAACAGTGTTAATGCAGAATGTGTATTTTTTAGGGAGCTGAGAAGGGAGCAGTGAGGAAGGTCTGAGATTTGGGGCCAGCGTGCAGTTTGTGGCCAGACACATAGATTTAAGTCCCAGTAAAGCCACTTACCAGCTAAGTGAACTCAGACCAGTCCCGAGTGCTGTGGGCCTCAGTCTGCTCACCCGGCACCTGGTGCAGGCAGCGCCACGGCTTCTCTCTGCTGTCAGGGTCCGAGTCTCCACGATGCCCCGCAGGGCTCGACCCCGGCAGGCACATAGCATGGGCTAACTCCATTCACTGTGTCTTCCCCTTTCCTTAAGTGGCTGACGCATCTGTGAAACCTCCTTTCATCAAAGCAAACAAAAACTCTGTCATTTTAGACAAATGTGATAAAATTAACTTTTAGGTTGAGAAAGTGTTCTGCATGGAAGATGAGCCCATTGGCTTATTTTACTCTGAACTTTCTAGCTACCTCTCCCCAAATACACACGTACACACACGTATATACCACTCCCCCCAACACACACCTCACAGAACTGGAATGGTCTGGTGGGGGAAGGCCTGGCTGTGACAGTCCCAGTGTCCTGCCCACACTAAATGTAGAGCAGCATGGGCCTTTATGGAGCCCCAGCACTGGGGTCTGTGCCTGTCTCCTCAGCAGGCGCTGAGGATAGTCCACCAGTCTAACGTGTGGCCACACTGCCCTCTCTGCTCTGTGATGGGGCCTTCCGTGTCCCCAGAAGGACTCTGGCAACACAGCCGGCCAAAGACCTCAATCTGATTAAAGAAAGGAAGGACACTGGAGAAAGGAAGAAAAAAAGGAGTGGAAGAAAAATGATGGGGAGAAGGAGAGAAGGCAAGAGAGAAGGAGAGAGACCTGGTGCAAGTGTGAAATCAGAATAACAGACTGAGGATGGTGAGATGCATGTGAACAGAGTGTGACGTGGGCAACCCCCACAAATAGACCTTCTGTTAAAAATAGCCTTTGTCTAAATGTGGAAAGGGTGTAAATATAGTAGCGGTTTCGGCTTACTACGGAGCCGCCCCAGCTCCAAGTAACAGAGGCTTATTATAGGACGTGTGCGTCAGCAGCGGGAGGGGGACAGACAAGCCCTGGGCCGTGGGTACAGTACCCACCAGCCCGCGAGGGGTCAGCCAGCCCGCATCGCCTGCCCGGGTGGGGGATTGCTCCGAAAGGCTCTCACAAAACTCCGCTAGGCAGAGAACTCTGGCCGAGCTGGGCAAGGAAGGAAAGAAGGAAGGAAGGAATCGCCGAGCTGAAAAGGATCTGGGGAGGACTGTCTTGGCAGTGCCGCTCGTTTTCATCTGGGCTTTCACCAGGCAGCGCGTCTCTGTGCAGCAGACTGCTTGCTCCTGGACACGGCGGGACGTTTTCAAGGGAAGCCCCCGGAATAACTCCTGTGTAGACAAATCAGTTTCCTCAGTCCTGAGTACAGGGGACAAAACCTCTGGAAATCCTGTGGAAAGTGCCAGAAAGGAGTTTGACTGAAGTCTTTTAAAAAAGACCGAGTTTTCATCTCTGTGTCTCCAGCCTCGCATGTTTAGTAGGAGCGCGGGGCACAGTGGCTGGATTCCTGAGCTGGGCAGCTGCGTGTTGCTGAGGGCACTCCCTTCCAGTATATAGGCATGACCAAGGGTGACGAAACTCTTCTGTGAAGTTCACTGCTCTGATTCCCTGGCTACAGATGGCCAAGGGTCGACTGCTCACGTCGGTGCTACGACCTGCTCAGGGCTGCGTGTCTCCCCTGCAGCCCCTCTGGGGGACCCTCGTTATCCTCCTAAAGGGTCTGTCACCCTTTAGCTCAGGTCACCTCTCCTCCCTGCCCAGCCATGTCCAGGCACACACCCCACATCCACCATACAGCTTGACACCCGCCCGGGCACACGTGCCCACCAGCATCTCACTGCTGTGCTCCCACTGAGTCCTGCATCGGCCCTACCCTGCCTCTGGCTCATTCCTAGCCTTGATCTGCCTTTTGGGTCTAAGGCAAACCTGGCTCCTCCAGGTGGATCTTCAACTTCTTCTCGGACAGGATCAGCTCTGGTCCTGCCCCTTGGCCAGCCTGGGTGACCGCCTCAGTGATGGAGCTCTTGCCCTAGGATGGACTCTGTCCCTCCGGCCTCTCCCTAGTGTCATCTAGACTGCCCCGAACACCACCTTTCTAAAATGCAAGGCCAATAGTGTCACTGCCCCACTCAAAATGCCAGTGCCTACAGGACAAAGTCCAAACCTCGGAAGGCCCTAGTGTGACCCCATCTGTTTTCCCACCGCGTCTTCTGCTACCCTACACCTCATGGTGCACACACAGGCCCTGGAGGTGAGCAGCTGCCCCCGGCGCATCCTGCGTTCATGCCATTTTCTCGGGCAGAAATGCTTCCACTCCAAGTCTCTGCTCATCAAGAGCCTACCCACCCCTCAAGGCCCCAGCTACAGAAGGCTGCCCACCTCTTCTGGGAAGCCTTCCTGGACCTCCCCTCCCACAACCACCTTTTCTTCACTCCCACTCCAAATCTTAAGTCACTCTTGCATACCTGGCAAATGAATCAAGAGACCCAGCACCACATCTGGGCACAGTGTCCTCCTGTGCACTCCAACTAGCCCATGTGTCCCTCTCCAGTACATCAATCTCTCTGTGTCGGAGCTGCCTGTCTGACCACCAGTCCTCCCCACTGGACTCTGCACTCTGGGCAGGATCTAGGTGGCCTTGTTCAGGCCAAATCCCCGCTGCCTGGCACAGGGCCTGGCTTATTACACTAAATGCAGTGGGCCACCAGGGCTCTAAACTCCTGCTGTGGACTGAATGTATGTGCTCCCCCCGATTTATGTTGAAAGCCTAATCCCCAGTGTGATGGTTGCTAGAGAGGGGGCCTCTGGGAGGTAATTAGGTGACGAGGGTGGAGCCCTCAGGATGGGATTAGTGCCCTTATCAGAAGGAAAAAGAGAGTGTGCTTTTGCCCTCTGCTCTCTGCCATGTGAGGACACAGTGAGAAGACGTCAAACCAGGAGGACAGCCCTCACCGGAGCCTGACCATGCTGGCACCCCGATGAGGGGACTCCCCAGCTTCCAGAACAGCGAGAAATACATTTCTGTTATTTAAGCCACCTAGCCTATGGTATTTGCTATGGCAGCCGTAGCTGACTAAGACCACTCCCTTGCCTTTTACAGAAGCTCCTATCTATGCTCCGGTTCCTCTGCTATTTTCTCCTGATTGTGCCATTGGCCCTGCTACAGGGATGAGGACCCCAGGACACAACCCTGAGATGCTGGGCGCGGAGTCAGAAGAACTAGGTAAACGTCTCCGCCCTGCCTCTTCTTACCGGTCTGCCACTGGGAGATTCACTTTACCTCTCTCAGCAGTTTCCTGGGCTGGGAAAGGGGTGACACCACGCACTGCATGGGGCTGCTGGGAGGGCCCAGTGAGCGTGTGGAGATGAAAGCCCCCCACAAATTGCGCAGTGCTCTTCAGGTACCGGGCCCTTGTCACAGCCCTTGCCTGCTGCCTGCTACGGCCGTGCTTTGGAAACCTGCCCAGACGCCAGCTATGTTGACTCCAGCTGCCATTCGGGCCCATAAGGATGTCCTAGAAAGTACTTTTGCCACCTCTTTACGTTAACAGCTCGAAATCTCCAGACACGTCTGATTACGGGGACTCTTTTGAGCACACGATGGTTTTCTTCCTCAAAATTCTTAAAAAGAAAAAAAGGCTTGAATGGCAGTCAGGACTGGCAGAAGGTGAACTCTCATTGTGAACCGAGGAAGGAGTCTGTGAAAGGAAATGGGGAGAAAGTGGATACGCTGATAGCCAGGCTGGGGCTCTTCCAGGTAAGCCTACCTGCCCTGGCCCTGAGTGGCCCTGTCCCGGGCTTGGCTGGTCCTGCAGGCTCTCAGGATACAGCAGAACTGACGGACGGCCTGGGAAGCAAGTATGCGGGCAGATTGTGTCCTCTTCCTGGAGAGACCTTAAATACAGTGGAAATGGCCAGGCTGTGGGTTCCGCGGAGCCTGGCTCCAGTTCTTGCCCCGTTTCATTACGAACAGGGGAAACCTGAGCACATCTCCTAATCTCTTACAGCCTTGATTCTTCAGGGGAAAGATGGAGATCATTTTGATGGGAACTAAAATCAAATATGATCATTTATGAAAATTTTATGCATAGTACCTGTGCTCAATAAATGGTAATTGAAACCGATTCTAAATCTATTTCTCCAGACTGGTATTTCATGCTGCCAGGAAATAAGCAAAGACAAAATGATTTAGAAAACTAAAGTGTGGGGGTAGATTTTTTTTTTTTTTTAAATACCTCCCAACCAGGACCAAACAACCTCCACCAGGCAGACTGAAAATCTTGCCATGGGAACAAGGATTTGGGGAAGGACAAGAAAGAGAATCACTTGTAGGATTATAGTAGAAGAATCAGGGCCTCAATTGCTTAGAATCTCCAAAGTTTGTGCTGTAGCCCATTATATAGAGATTCTTACAGCTAGGATGCAATATATGTTTTTAGATGACACACACTAATAGAATCGTACAATATTTTGGAGGGAGTGAGCTTCTGGAAGCAATACCCTTCGCTGGCCATCAATCTATAATCAATCTGTACTTCTCCATGTGTATTTTCCCTCTTCTATCTTAGTCTGTGTATGTGCACACGTATGTGCTTTCATGTAACAAAAGATCCTGTGAGCAGGTGGGCTTGGGGAGGTGGAGAGGACAGGAGCTCAGATTTTGAAGGAAAATTTCCTGCCTCAAACCATGGCTCTGCCTTGTATTGCCTGAGTAGTATACTGGGGAAACTATTTAAGCTGAAAAGAGGATCGTACCCCCATAACTACCTACTTATCTATATCAAACAGAGTTGTAAAGATCAGAGATAGTGTGTGTAAGACGTTTGGCATAGTGCTAATGGTATCGTATAAATTCACAACACACATACACATAAATATACATGCTCATCCACATATGCAGATATGCTCATTCAAATACATGTACACTGATGAATAAGCACTCACACCTACACATGTGTACATTCAAGTGCAGACTGAGACACGACCCATGCACCTTTGCCACATAATCTAGTTGAGATGTGGGAAATACTGTTTTTCCTGGAGTTACGGTCCTGAGATATCATTAAGCCTGAGTTCCTATGATGTTCTGGGTAAAAGGACCGTGGGTGTAGGGTCCGAGGTTTCTGAAGTGGAGGTCTGGGCCTGAGGCCAGTACCTAGCCTTGGATGTCCAAGTGAAAGATGTCAGGATGGGGTGGGTGTGGTGGCTGTGAGAACATGCCCTGCAGACACGGAGCCCAACTGACCAAGGCTCCAGTTGCTTGAGCCCATACTTGTGTCAAGGCCACACTTTCTATTGGCCACTCCCTGTCAATCAGTGACTGAGTGTGACAGGGATACCAAGGCAGACCTGTCTTCAAGAGACAGGGGACTTCTCAGACAGGTGACTTTGGCTTGAGGACTCCTTGATGGCCTTGCTTCAGACAGTCCAGGAGCTTCCACCCAACCTTCCTTCCCTCCCTCCTGCACTCGGTCAAGGTGTGATGGTCCTCCTGTCCTCTCCTGGCCTCTCCCAGCTCCCCTCCCATTTTCTCTCCTAGGTGTTTTCCCTAGTAAAATCCTGGAATGTCTCATCCTGCTTAGTGTCTGCTTCTAATGCCACAGTGGAGTGTGGAATCCCAGCTCACAGAAGGAGCCCAGGACTAAGAACTCACAGAGAGAGAGTGAAGAGGGAGGGAGCACAGACCTATCTCCCTGCTCAGCCTGCTCTCTATTTAACCTGCACAATCCACACTGCAAGGCGGCTTTATGAGCCTCCCTGTAAAGTGAGGGGCGGAGACAAGCTTGGTGACTTGCCCAAGGTCGGAAGATTAGACAGCAGAGCCTTGTCAGGAACCGAAGCTTCCAGATGCCTGAATCCCCGTTCTCTTGTGCTCTGCTCTGTCTACAGAGCACCTGCCCAAGAGCTCCCACACGCATGATACCCTAGGCACACTTTTCCCTGTGAAGAGGCAGTAGGAGTTCACCATCTGCATTTCAAAAATGAGAAGCTGAGACTCAGAAAGCCAGGTCAGTTTCCCAAGGTCACTGATTAGCAAGTGACAGGGCAGGAACTACAACCCCATTCTCCCAATACAGAGCCTCTCCTCTTTTAAACCCCTTGCAGGCTACTTTAGCCCCTGTAAGAAATCTGGGAGTTGCCTGCTCCGCCTGACACTCCCCACAAATTCTCATTTCCCCTCTCTTCCTGGGAGCCCCAGTGAAGGTGGGCCTGGCTGGGCCCAGTACACACCCCTGGGGTCCAGCCTGGGGGTGTGGGGAGAAGCTCTGCTCACACCCTTGGAAACCCACAGCTGAGCCTCCTTCCTTCTTGCTTGAAAGTGCTCTAGAGTTTCTGTGCTCACAATGCATCTCTTTGGAAGTCTGCCTTCTGAAGGTTGCCATGGTGACTATTTTGGTACTGCATGCTAGAAAAAGCCGAGGCACCTGCTGGTCACACCACCAAAACTTGTCTCTCTGAAAAATCAGCAGATGGCATTTGTCAGAAATTCTTACTTCTTGATTAATTTGGGAAGGAGAAGAGTGTGTGTCAGTGCCGATATCCTTTAACCCGGACTGGTCATGTTGGTGTTTGGGGGAAGATGCGCAGACCCCGCAAGCTTCCCCTGAAGTGGTGGATCGTTTGGAAGTTTGGAGATTTGGAGGCTAGTAAATGAAAACAAGAGAAAGACCATGATGTTGCTTTCATAGTAAGAGGGGTTGAAATTTCAGGGCCAGTTCTGGAAAGGCCCATATCTCACTTCTAGTAATTTCCATGAGTTCTCAACTATGCCTCAGCATGGGTTCAGCTTTGAAGTAGAGGGAAGTGTCAAAATCACGACTTTGAGTCAAATCCCAGTTCTGCCTCCTGTTAATTACGTGATCTTGGACAAGTTCTTCAGCCCATCTAAACCTCAGCTTCCTCATCTGTAAAACAGGGCTGATAACAATATATATTCCACAAGACTGTAATGAGGATGAAATGAAACGGCTATTATTATTATTAACTAGAATTAAATTTTGACATGGAGAGATTGGCCTGTCCACCTGCTCACATAGTTTTTATCAATACACATAACTTTGCAACTGTGCTCAAGAAAATCAATCAATTAACTTCACTGTCTCAGTCTAAGCAGTGTTATTAAAGATGAGGCAACATTAAAAAATGCAACAAAAATTCCTAGAAAAGCAGAACTAGATAGTGATTAAGGTAGAGACACATTGTTTGATGTGCACCCAGAAGTTTTTCCCCATCTCTCACATCCTGACTTCCACCTGCCTTTTTCACAGGTTGCCACGCTCTTTTTTCACAGTGTTACTCAGCAAACTTGGACTAGGGGTGTAAACCGTTCCCTGAGCAGCACTGATTACTGCCTTTGAATTTGGGGCTAGGCACTTTCAAGAGTTTTCTGCAGAGGCAGTTACGTAGTTTTACACTCTTCTTTCACCTGTTGGGTCTCTATGGAGAATGAGCCTCAAGTTCCCCACTGACAATTTTGTTCTATCATGAGTCCTGCTCAGTCAGCGCGGGGAAAGCCTGGGTGGCCACGTTTCCTTCCTGTGGCCATGGCCGATGCTGCTAATCAATCACAGAGCCCTGAAGGGCCTGGGAAACTTCCAGAAGACAGGCAGCCACTGCTAATTGGTCAGAACACGGGAACAGAAATCTATTTGTCATTCTTGTTGTAGGAGAAAGAACTCAGTAATGGACGTCAGAAAAGCTAACTCTAATCCCAGTTCTGTTTTTCACTAGCTATGTGAACTTGGACTAATCATTTCTCTCTCTGACATGCAGTTTCCATATTTGGGACAAGTGGAATGATCTTTAATTCCTTCTAGTTCTAAGTCTCCACGTTTTTGCCATCCATCGCCCAGCCCCCACCACATGCACACGCGACTCCCCCGTCAGGTGGGCTCCCAGCACCCAAGGCAGACTCTGATCTGTTCCTTTCCTGGGACTTGTCCAAATGATCAGATTTTATCAAACATCCTGGGATGGCCGAGGGCCAAAGAAAACATTCTCAGATGCTTAGAATTACCAAATCACAGTGCTTCTGCTATGAACGTTACCTCAGAGCACAATGAGCTGAATCTTCCATATTAAAGAGGAAGTGATGAAAATGGGAGAAGTTCAGGGACTTCTTTGAGGTCACACAGCAAGTTAGCAAGTTGATCTCATTCCCGATGGGGGTTCCATCAGGGCTGAGACCTTGTATTGTCTTGAATCTTGGGAAGAGTCATGAGGATGCTAGCTCAGAGCAAGCCAGGGAAGATGCTGTCCCTCCTGGAGCCCGGTATTGGGGGGCTGCAGACAGCTGGAGGTGGTTGAGGAATGCCTACTGGGGGTCAAAGCCTGAACCGAAAGTCTGTACTGTGTGGCTTGAGGGGGTTCTTGGCCACTCTCTGAGCCTCCGTTCTCACCTGTAAAAAGAGGTGATTGGACAATCACTCGTCAAGCAGGGCTGAGCAGCACAGGACTGAAAAGTTAACAACAACAGCAACAACAACAAAATGCAGTCTGGATGGCACAGCCCTGAGGATTGCAATTCCAGGTAGGCTTCAGCATCTGTGTTTGTATAAAAAGCTCCAC